GACATATGGGCTAATATCAGACTTATGGCCTTGGACTGGACTGGGTTGGGATGTTTTCTCAATGTTCAATTCCTCTTGTATATAAACCTCTCCCCTTATATACCTATGCGTATTTATGAATTTGTTTTCTCTAGTCTACCCAGACTAACACATACTCCTCTAAACAGTTACAGATGCAGAAACCCACAGGGGGTCGCTATGCGTTAGCACGGACTCAATGGCAGTGAGTTTGGTTTTGATCTATTCATGATAATAAAAAAATTAAGATGATGATATCTAAAGGGGGGCAAGTCACCCCCCCCAAAAAAAAAGTGTCCTTGAGATTAAAGAATAAGACCTTCTAGGGAGGGGCATTTGCTGTAGCTGTGAGCCATTTATTCAGTTGCCTCAGTTTGACCAAGAGTTAGCAGGGTGTTGATTTGGATGTAATTAGGCAAGTCTGATTCTGTCAACCAATCTATACAGCATTCCTTTATGAGATATTGTCTTTTTTAAATCATTACCTTTTCTTAAAATGCTTAAACTCCTCAATCATAACATCACTTGTTATTCAAATATCTGCTACAGGATCTTTTAAAGATTCAAAGTTTGATCATGCATACAATTCCTATATATACTTTTAAATAACAAAAGAGTATTTGAAAATGAAGAGTCATAGCATAAATAATGTATTTTAAAATAAGGTATTTGTTCAAGACTATGTTTACAAATTGTTAAAAGAATTAACTAACATGAAAGAATGTTTGAACACTTTTCATTCTTTAAAAGTCAATCCTGAATGTTCGTATTTTTTTCTAAATTTCCCAAGTTAAAGCAAAATTAGTTAATGATTAAAAGAATGAGGAAAAGGCAAATAAAATCCATCACAGACATCTGGCGCCATCAGCATTAAAAAAAAAGTCTAACCACAACAACTAAAGTATTGAATAAAGAGACAAAAGGAAGATTTGCTCACAAGAACAATTTGTTTGGCTCATAACTATTTTCAAGATAGCAAAGCCTATCAAACTTGTCTCAATAAAGTACATTATGTCCATCTGTCTCCCTCTCCTAAATAAACTGCGTAACATTTGCTTATTAGTTCTGTATTGTCTAGCTACCTCATCACATCGTACTACTTAGCACAGTCAAATGTCAATGAAAATTCCCCCTTACCTTTTGAAACTTCACATCTCTTAAGATAATAAAGCAAAAATATGGCAATTTAATACACAAAGGTACAAAAGTCAAGGAATCTAAAAGATAGCATGAGAATATCTACAGCAAGTCTGACGAAAGAGCAGTGACCAAAAAAAAATCGAAAATGAGATAACAATTTTTTCTTTTAAAAAAGAAGGCGGTGGGAAGCAACAAAAATGGACTTTAAATATTTGCATTTAAAAGGTTCAATTTAGTTAGTTTTAAATGTCATATAATATCTGATATTCCCATTCTAAATAGCTTCCCCCCAGTGTTACCCGAGTCAAAACAATTAGAAATAGATAAGCAATAGAGAGATATTTCATTTTTAGTTTGTCAAATCACTACACTAGAAAATGAGAAAATTAAATTATATTTTATTTCTTTAAAGGTACTGTAAACTTCTTCAAGCCATGTTTTTGGCACAATATCCATTGTAAATATTTCAAAAACTCTTTTTTTGTTGTAAATCATTTTATTGGGGGCTCATACAAGTCTTATCAAAAACTCTTTAAAAGTAAATATAGAGACATGAGGATGAAATGACAAATATTTCTGCATTGCCACTCTTGTTTTTAAGTTCTTTTAACAGAACTGAATGGGAAGTGGAATTCAATCTCTACATCTATTAAATAGATCAGTAGAATGATAAGAATGAAAAATCTACATGTTTTCAAGCTGAGCGCAGGAACATTTCCCGTTAGAGAACAGACTTTAAAACCCCTCTTTATGCACTAATGTTTTAACTTTTAAGAGGCACGTCTCTTCAACAGGGTTTGATATACTACCTCCTTCTCTCCCTTAAAGACCATTCTTTCCTCAGTTAAACATTCATGACAAATTTGATCATTATGAATAATATTTATAGACTTTATTTCTGTTTTTATTGGAAGTGTTTTATAATTTAACAAACCCTTCAGAGAATGTGTAAAGCACAAATTTCTCAAGATAATTTTCCTTTCTAGGCAAGATGCTTGGCTTTAGAGACTTATTTTGATAAATTTTACAATCATCTCAATTACCAACATTTTTACTAATGGATCCTTTCATCCTTTGTGTTAAGTTTAGCCATTGAGTTTTTGAGCTTTTTAAGTCAGAAATATTTTAAGTATAGATTTTCTTTTACAAATTAAAAAACTAGAAGTTTCACACTTGTAAAAAGGGGTCTACAGTTTTCTGCAAAGTTGAACTCTTTCCTAGAATGTTCCTTACAGAAGTTTAACAACCAAACACAATTTTACCAATAAATTACACCATACTACTATACCTCCACCTTGAAAGAAATGCCCCTTACGGCCCAGGACTTCAGATTGCATACAACCAAAAGGTTAGCTACAGAAACTATAAGTTTAAGAACATACAAGCCAACAGAAGGGATCTATGAAGGATAATCACCTTAAGAGAAAAAACTTTGTGCAGATGACACTGGTTCAAATGCATTCCCTTGGGGAAAAAAAATCAACTCTGTAAAGATAGCAGATGGATTTGTTTAAATAGTAATAAAATTAACGAGGGTCTTTAATAACCACCAAATCACAAATTATCAAGCATGCAACCACACTTTAACAAACAATGGCATTTCTTTTTTCCCATACAGCTTGTTTGTCAGACACTGACATCTGGAGATTTAAAACTCTTTAAATTCATAAGCATTCGATATAGTGACATAACACAGAAGAAAGAACAGTTTTTACTCTCAGTTCAGCAAGAAAGGCAAAGAGCTTCCAAGGGCTTACCACTGGTGGATCAACAGGTGCTGGTGGTTGTACTTGTAGGTTTACCGCAACAGTTTGAGGAGGAGGAAGAGTCTGAAATGGCAACTGGACCAAAGCTTCTGCAGCTGGAAGCTCCTCTTCTGACACCAAGGCATTCTGCATCAAAACCTGGCCCTGGGACAGAATTTCAGGCTGCACTTGTAAAGACTGCATAGACTGCAAGGGCAGTGGTGGAATCTGAGCTGGAGGAGATGCTGACATCTGTGGAGGGGTCGCAATTGGGATTGGAGAGGACTGTAGGGTTGAATAGTGCTGGTGTGATGTTGGAGAGACAATCTGCTGGCCTGGGGACACCAAGGCAGACTGCTGAACTGGGCCAATGTGTACGACTGGGGAAGCCGGAAGTGGAAGATGGGATGGTAGATTCAGCTGTGATGTCGGCTGCACTTGACTGGCAGTGGACTGTTGCAAGTTTGGCCCTGGCTGGAGAGCTGATGAGACGAGTGGGTGTGGCTGAATAAGTGCTTGTGGATGGATAATTATGGTAGGAGACTGACTTGGTGAATGAGGTGGTGGAGGAGACACCACTACAGACTGCTGTGCTGACTGCAAGGGGCTAGGAGACATTGTTAAAGGAGGGGGGTGACTCTGAATTGGAGAACAATGTTGTGACTGGGCATTACTGGGGGCTGGGGAAAAGCCGTGGTTTTGGAGTGGGAGACAGTGTTGGGATGGGGGTGGGTCTTGAGTTGGATTTTGAAGTGTAATTGGCTGAATTTGCTGTTGCTGCTGTTGTAATATCAGCTGATGGTGGGAAACCTTGGGAGGTGGTGAATGAAGAGGAATTTGTTGGTGTCTTATTAGAGAATGAGGTTGAATTGGAGAATATGATGCTGTGAGGGGAAAAAAATAAAAATTAGTATTTCAAAAAATTAGACATTAAAAAAGTAAATCTAAAAGAGGAAAGTTTTCACATCAAAAGGTAATCATCATCATCATCAATTGCAAGTCTTCCACAAAAGAATAATTTGAAGAATCAAGAAAATCTCATGAAACAATTCACAAATCTGAATCTGCACATAATTATTCCAGTTAAATTTTCTAAGTCTCCAATATAACTGAATTAAATTTAGTAGTTTATCCACTCAAGATGTTTCTTTGGGAAGAAGAGTATTACTGAACAAATAAGGCATATTTAAGATAATTTTTAAAATCCTAAAACTGCTATAGTAGAAATCAGAAACTAAATGTCTCATACTTTTGAATCTATGTGTGAACATGCTTCCAACTAATAATCAAGGTAATTGCTTATAAAGTTTTCCAAATAAATTTCTCCTGTGTTGAGACAGTGAGCCTGGTATTATCTGAACTAGCAAACGTTTTTGTGTAATGTTTAATTCAATAAATTAAGCAAAAAACACAGGGCAAATCAAGCAGTGTGAGTGCGCACTGGCAGTAACAGGGTCGCTGCACATCTGAGAGGGCCAGCTTTACTTGTAGGCGGAGGCAACCAGAAGCACATGCTTTCTGAATAAAGGATGCTGTTCACTCCTCTGCCTTCCTGGAGGGGGAAAAATCTTCCAATAATCTAAGTGGTCATACTGTTTTCTACAAAGAGAAGCTAGTCACACTAGGGCTAATAAATATAAGAATTAGCAATAATCCGGTTGTTGTAAGTAGTTCGTCCATCATTTGCTCTCCTGCAGACTGGTGCTTATTGTGTTTACACAGGGGAGATTCTCCTGGTGAAAGCATCCCTATCTACGTAATAATGGAAACTGGGGTCACAACAAGAAGACCTAAAATGACAGCTTAATATTAAAATATGTACATTTAAACAGCATGTAAAAATCACACCCATTTAAAATGGGTCTAATGACAGGGAAAACATTTTTTTTCCTTAATATCAGAATGTTAAAATAAAGATTAGAACACTTTGTATTTATTTTTCTAGTCAACTATATTTTTGACAGTAGCCCAGTAAAAAACTTCCAACAAATTTACTATTTTATTGCATTTGATTGTTATTGTTTAAAGTTTTTTCTCTTTTAAAAAAATTAACATCTGATTAACATCTCAAGAGACGGGTATTTCAAAAATTGAATAGGTATACACTTAACTGTGCCAAAAAATGTTAACTAGGTCTAACAAAATAATTTTCATAGACTAGTGTTTCAAATTAAGAATGAAATTTTTAAGTCAGCACTTTATAACTGTGCAAACAGATACTCTGTACTAGAGAGCATTCCAAAAAAAGGTGAATTAGTAAAATTTTGGGATTCGATAAAGAGTTTTCCCTTCAAGGAGCTCAAAGGTCTTTCCTAGCTCTTTCATTTGTCTGCATAAAATGCCTGACGACTGTATCAGCCTAATTGCTCCCCTTTTACAGATAAGAGAATTGACTTCTTGCCAGAATAACAGCATAGGCATATTTTGATTCAATGTTTTTAAAGTTATCACTGAAATTTAGCATATTCTTGAAGCACAATGATATTTGATTCAATAGAATAGACATTCTTTCTGTGCTCTAGTAAGTGAGCAATCTTTTAACATAACTGATAGATGAAGTCTCCTTTTTCCATATAAATTCATAGAGAGTGACAAGGTGGGCTGCTAACCACAGGTCAGCAATTCAAACCGCCAGCTGCTGGGCTTTGACAGAGACCTACTCAGGCCGCTAGGGTTGCGATGATTAGGAATCAACTTTATGGCAATGGATTTGGTTTGGGTTTGGTTTTTTTTCAAATAAATTAAATCATCTTGCATCAGAAATCAACTATCCAGTGTATATACGACAGAACAATTATGAGGACCTTTGAAAATACTGCACAAGACAGATAGGAACTGGAAACACAGGGAATCCAGGGCGGATGATCCCTTGAGAGTGGCGACACCAGGAGGGTGGAGGGAGGGTGGGTTGGAAAGGGGGAACCAATTACAAGGGTACCTCCTCCCTAGGGGATGGACAACAGAAAAGTGGGCGAAGGGAGATGTCGGACAGGGCAAGAAATGACGAAATAATAATGATTTATAAATTATTAATGGAATAATTATATATAAGGGAGTGGGGAGCAGGGAGGGAGGGGGAAAATGAGGAGCTCATACCAAGAGCTTAAGTGGAGAGCAAATGTTTTGAGAATGATGAGGACAATGAATATACAAATGTGCTTTACACGATTGGTGTTATGTATGAATTGTGATAAGAGTTGTATGAATCCCCAGTAAAATGATTAAAAAAAAAAAAACGATTTCCCAGGGAATTCAGGGCAGATAAACCCCTCAAGACCAATAATGAGAGAGAGATACCAGGATGATAAGGGAAAGGTGGGGGAGAGAGCTGGAACCGATCACAGTGATATACATATAGCCCCCTCCCTGGAGGATGGACAACAGAAGAGTGAGTGAAGGGAGGCATCGATCACTGCAAGACATGGAAAAATAATAATTTATAAATTATCAAGGATTCGGGAGGGAGGGTGGGGAAGGGAGGGGCAAATTGAGGAGCTAATACCAAGGGCTCAAATAGAAAAAAAAACTGTTTTGAGAATGATGATGGCAACAAATGTACAAATGTGCTTGACACACAATGGATGGATGGATGGATTGTGATAAGAGCTGTACGAGCCCCCAATAAAATGATTTATAAAAACAGAAAATACTGTACAAGATAAGCCATAGTCCCCTGAAGAATATCATGTTTGCTAATTTTTCTAAATACTTCAGAGACCTTCTATTTGAAGAATCAATGATTGGCATCATCTCTCACATATTTAAATTCAAAACTTTTGCAACTAAACATATTATTTACTCCAATAGTTACGGCAACCCTATAAGGTACAGAGGATACTACACTAATCCAATATATTTCAAGCGGAAAAATGTAAGCAGTTAAGTGGCTTGCCTAAAATCACGGGGTTATAAAGTGGCAGAGCTGATTCTCAAATAGCCCATAATCCTTTGAGTCTAGGGCTCTTTTCACTACACACTGAATTAAATGTCTGCAAAAAACAGTATATGCATTTTCCAATTGGATTAATAGCATAAAAGCGCTAAAAATTGCTATTAAAAAAATAATTTCAGTACTAATAGAATTCATGATAACTTCCAGGTTTGCGACAAAGTTTTTCTTTCACATATTAAAAAATAGAACTATTTAAGAAAAATAGAACTATTAACTATCAAGTGGGAACTCCATCTTCAGGGAGAGATGATGAAGAAAGAGAAACGCTTTTAACCCCCTAAAGATGACATAAAAAGGAGACAAAACCATGTTAATTACAATATTAGCCCATGCTACCTTGGAATACAAGCACATTTTTTACATTGAAAATAATCTGTAGGAACACATTTTTAATTGAAGGAAAGTGCAAATTACCAATTCTAGAATCTCTAAAAACAAACAAACCCTTAGCTTCTCATTAACTTCCAGCCACAAGAACAGAAAAAGAGAGTGAAATTATCACTGTCGCATCACCAGGAGTAAGGCACAATTGCTTTACATAACCATCCCATAAGAATTAAACAAATGGTTACATTGATTAAAGATTAAGGTGTATGGAGCTCAGGATATGGAGTTTATGGCATTCTCTTTGGTTTTCAACCTAGCCATGTGGCAACTGGAGTTTGGTTAATATGCATAAAATCTGAATTTGGAACTGAGGTTGTCTCTCAATGTCTGAGACTTGTTGGTGGTCGGTCTCCGCTCACTGGTCTCCTCCATACCTACAAAAATCAGCGTCCAACATGACCAATGACAGGGGACGCCAAGTACTCAGAGTTCAGAATCTGAGTTTCCAGCTTTCTCTGAAGGGCAGTGTTGTCTCTGGAAGGAAATTAATCTACTCTGCATTATAATCTATCCAAACTATAGACATCACTAGAAACTGACCCCTGGCAGCGGTTCACGTTGCTCCACCCTGACTCTTCCTGTCTACACTGGCTGGAAGTCACTCTAAGGCTGAGAATAACTCTGGACAGTGCAGTGCAAAACCCAGTTATCAATCCAGACAATACAGAGCCTGGCACACACATGTTGATATGAAAAAATTCAAATCTAACTATCTCTGAGTAGACTTCTTAATTTTGTATCATCACAAAGCCTGTACTAATCCAGGAGTCAGATTTGACCAGTCCTGTGAATGGGAACTATGGGAAAATTTTTTCCAAGGGGAAAAATAATCCTAAACAAAATATTTACTCCTACCTCTTACAGATAAGAAAATGAGCCCTGATGGTGAATGGGTCACATACTGGGCTGCTAGCCACAAGCTCGATATTTTGAAACCACCAGCGTTTGGAGGAAGGCGCTCTTTAACGAGGCTTTCTATCCTCGGAAAGAGTTCAGGTCTCACACACCCTCAGAGCAGCTCTACTCTGCCGGGGAGGGGGCCTATGAGCCGGGATCAGCTGGAAGGCAGTGAGGTTTGTTTAGGGTTTGTATGCAAGTAGATACAAATACTGACAGATGCAAAGTGAAAAAGTGACCCTGAGAAAGCATTAAATGAGTTAATAAGTATAAAGTGCTAAAATCATAATTGACATATAAAGGCCCAATAGCATCAGATCCTCAGTGAGCTTACTCCCTAGAAGTCAGGGTTATATAAGTAACTATAAAAGAAAAAGTACTCCCCCTAAAAGAAAAACAAAGAAAAAGTACCCCAAGGAGGCCCAGAAATGCTAAAGACATTCAGAATAAGAGATTTCAACTAGGGCAAATCAAACAATGCCAAGATGCTGCTGCTGAGATACTTGGAATATTAGCACACTGAAGAAACAAGAAAAGGGAAACAGATATAGGTGGAGAAAGCAGGCTGCACTAATGTGAAGCAAATCTTTTTAAAAATAGAGCAGTTATAAAGATCTCACAGAAGATGCCTATCTGATACTGTTGGCGCAAAGGATTTCTTTTTGAATGGCGTATATGTGAGATGGCATGCGCACACTCTCTGAATCACACACACACATGCTCTCTTTGAAGGACAGGTCTGTTCCTGTAAAAACACATGCAGATCTATTAAGACTAAGGAGTACAGGGTATGCGTGAGATTAAAGGAGAGAGTCCAGCATGAGAATGACGAAAGATATTATGACTGCTGGACAAGCTCTAAAAGAGGGCAGGACCAATGATACAGTCAAATAATGCTATTAAAGAAGCAAACAGATTGCTCCCTCTATTACCACACGCAAAGAAATCTCAGCACTGAGAAATTCTGCAAGGAATAGACAAGACTACCAGAAAGGAAGCTTGCTCTGCACAATTCCAGCATTTTCAATGTGAGAACCATGAGGCAGGGCTATCTGTAGACTGTTAAAGAGAGAGCAAGTGGAATCCAAAGCCCACTAAGAGTGGACTTTCAAAGGGGGGAGTAGGGGAAGCAATAGGTGCAGGGTAGAATGGTCTTAACTAGGATGAAGAAGATAGTATTCTACAAGAGGGAAAAAGAAAACAAAAGGGGGGGTACAGGGCAAGCTACTGGGAGGTTTGATAAGGAGGTTTAAGTTGTTGAATACAAAATTGATTATCTGACACGTAAATCCCCACCTAACTCACAGTAAAAAGTTTTTTAAAAAATTTTTAACTGATTCCTTGACATCTTCCTCTCTAAGATGAAATCAGATAAGAAAAGCCACCATCACACCTGGCAAGGAAAATTAACGCATAGTCCTTATTTTTTAAAAATGACCAATCCTTTCCACCGATGAGAAATAATGCTTTTAACAAGCTTTTCATTTCATTTGACTAAAACTACAGGCAAATCTTTTTTTAAATCTTTAATTCATTGCTATGATGATAGAACATGTTACCACTTACAAATGTGAGACCAGCACATATTGAAGATGTTAACCAAATGTCAATTTCCAAAATAAATGTCTACTGTTTCATGTTTTAGCTGTTGGATTTTCCTAAGATTTACAAGCAACAATATTGAGCTGTACTTTGATAATTGACAGAATTCATATTTTAAACTGCTTTAAACGTACTATCCTTATTCAGGATCTTACTAGTATCTTTTCTTTTTCTCTGCTTACTATGAAAATTAATAATGCGACCATTTGCAAAAAAGTTTTATCCCACCTGGTGCTATTAATTGGTGAATACTTGATGTTCGGGTGACAGCTGTGCTTCTTGACTCCAGACTTGAACTTTCTCCTTTCTTATTACTTTCTGGAGAAGGATCACGTTGGCTGATTTTAGAACTGGTCACGGTCGTTTTGTTATGACAAACTGTCAATGACTGAGTTTGACCAATGCCTTTTGGTGGACCATTCTGTGAGCTAGATAATACACCCAACTTCTGGCTGCGTAATGTCAAATTCTGTACCTAAGAACCACATAACAGAAAATTAGGAGGGAAACAGGTGGTTTCCAACAGTGTGGCAATCATGAGCACTGTAACCATGGCAGTACAATGACATTCTGCTTTACATACATAAAACTCCAAGCACTGGATACATGTGATCCACCCTGAAGAAAAGTGGCGTGGTTAAGCTGAGTAGCCATGCTTAACGTGGACGTTTCCCAAAGCCACTAAGAGCGTCCTGAAGAGCGTGATGGAAACAGAGTGCATGTGTCTGCAAATGAATCTGAGTACGAGGGGGTCACAGCGTATGGCGTTTTAATGGCACCAGTCCTAACTGTACAGATTATGAAGGAGCGCTAGCTGTTTAAGTAAAGGAATTCATCAAATCACCTATCCCTTGTTATTATAGATCATGAAAAATATATTTGGTAAATTTTTGCAGTTTCATTTTGTTGTTGCTATTAAACACGTACTTGTCATCTGAAGACTATATTTCATGGACTGCGAAGATTGTGTGTGGTCTTGAAATGGGTTTGGGTGATGGTTCCTGCTAGCTCCACCTCAGAAAGAGCTATGATAAACACATAGGCAGTCTTGGATCATGGCAAGGACCATGCCGATTACTCTCACCTAAGACTTATAACATTCCTATGCAGCAAAGCAGAAAATGCTTCTCCAATAACTGCGTGGCTTTCTAGTTGGAATGAACGCAAAAGTGCTCTGATGGGGCAGCACTAAAGTATCATCTGCTAGCTGAAACAGACCAGCTGTTTGAGCCCAGCAACCACTCTGCAAGAGAAGGTGAAGCTCATCTGCGTCTCGAGAGGTTCACAGAGCAGGTCGATTGTATCCAAAGTAAGGTGACCAGATTTAAAGTGGGACACCATTGACGTGTGTGTGTGTGTGTGTGTGTGTGTGTGTGTGTGTGTGTTCTTGATTAAAAATTTGGTCTATATG